CCTGGAAACTGGAGGAACAGCACCTCATATTCCGCCTTGGAACCCTACAACTCAATGGTCTCAATGTGGACTTTACCAGCTTCAAAATCTCCTCACCCCCGGCCTCATCCCAAGACCAGCCAGCTCGTCCCCACCTCATTGACCTGTCTGTCTTCCCTCCCACCTACCCGCCCCTCCCTCCTCACTGACCAACCCCCATCCCAACTCCCTACCTACACTCACCTGTACTGGCTTCATCCCCGCCTCCTTGACCTGGCCGTCTTCTCTCCACCTATCTGCTCCTCTATCCACCTTCTATCACCGCCTCCCCCTCTCTCTCTATTTATTTCAGAGCCCCCTTCCCCTCCCCCATTTCTGAAGAAGGGTCCAGACCTGAAATGTCAGCCTTCCTGCTCCTCTGATGCTGCTTGGCCTGCTGTGTTCATCCAGCTCCACACCTTGTTATCTCAGATTCTCCAGCATCGGCAGTTCCTACTATCCCTGAATCAGTTTTGCTCTTTGTCTCTTACGCATATCTCTCCTTTCCCTTGGCCCACCCCCTCTGTATTCGCCATTCCATGCCAATATCCGTCTCAGCTCCAAGTTCTGGAATTCATTCCTCAAACTCCTTCGTCTCACATTTCCCGTTTTGAAAGCTTCTTCAAACTCCTCTCTGCGGCCGAGAATGCAGTTGCATTCCAACATTTCTGTCTCTGGCTCAGTGTCGAATTTTGTTTAGTTGGATACATTTCTGTGCTACAATCCAAGTGTTTTGTCGGTCGCTGTCTGACTACAAGTAGCTGTTCCAATCAAACCAAGCAAATCTAAATAGTACTTTAGCCAAGTGGCTATCTTCAGCCACCGTACCGTTTTACTTAGCCACAGTAAAAGTACCGAAGGCTAGGCACATAGTCCTTTTAGTGGTACCACATGAGACAAAGCTCATCATATATCGAAGAACCAACAGGTTTGCATTGCTGCAGCACTTTCAACTTCCTCAACCTTGAAATTTCTTTTCAAGGACAGTCACACACTGTAATGTCACAGCAACATGAGAACGGCCAGATAACCCGTTTACCCGATGGTGGTTGAGAAATAAATATCAGTCAGGAGAACTTCCCTACTATTCTTTAAATTAGTGGCTCGGGATCTTGTCCATCTCAAACACTGGCAGCTCAAGCAGTGTCAGGAAGTGTTCGTCTAGATTTGGTCTCCAGAGTGGGGTCTGAATCCACAACCGTCTGACCCAAAGGTAGGAGGGCTGCGCGCTGGTGTTCGTTGATGGGGTCTTATTTTTGGGTTAACTATCCCAGAACTGTTACAGCATGGCAGGAGGCCATGTGGCCCACTGGGTATATACTGGCCCTCCAAATGAGCAGCTGAATTGGTGCCCTTGCCTTCTCTCCATAACCCTGCACGTTCTTCCTTTCCAACTCATTGTCTATTTCCTTTTTGAATGCCTCGTTTGAATTTGCCTCCACCACATTCTCCAGGCCTCCAGGCCAGGCTCTAGCCACTTGCTGCACAACAAAGATTTTCCTCAAGTAGCTTTTGCCTTTTTGACTAATTACTATAAATCCTCTCCATGATCAGGAACCATTTCTCCCTGTTTTCTCTGTGCAGAGCTCTCGTGATTTGGATATTTCAATCAGAATTCCTCCCAGGCTTCAAGGAGAATAGTCCTAACTTCCCCAATCTTTCTTTAAGACAGAAGTCTCTGATCCCTGGAACGATTCTCGCAAATTGCTTCTGCTCCCTCTTCAACGTGTTCACATGCTTCCAACAATGAGGCACCCAATGCTCCAGCGGAGGTCAAACATTTAGCTTATATCAGCTCAACATCAACTCTATTCTTTTGTTCCCTTGTGTGATTATCAATGAAGCTTAGGACTGTGCAAGCTCTCCCTCAACTAGTCCTGCTACCTTGACTGACTTTTCCACATATAGCGAGGTGGATAATCTGGAGGTTAACCAGTCTCGCTGGACTGACTGAGGCCTAACTGTTTCCTCATCCTTTCAGGCCTGTCGATCATTGATGTCGGGGGTAGAAGGGTTCACGCAGCAAAACAAAAAAGTGAACAACAACAAACCAGCCACCCATTTTCCACCCTGCTCAACTCTCCTGATCCCCGACAACTGAATAAACCTGCTCCGCAAAGGCATAAGGACGAGCAACCAAAATCACAGGGTCAACAGAGTATGGAGCTGGAGGAACACAGCAGGCCAGGCAGCATCAGAGGAGCGGGAGAGTCAATGTTTCTGAAGAAGGGTCCCGACCCGAAACATCGACTCTCCTGCTATTCTGATGCTGCCTGGCCTGCCGTGTTTCTCCAGCCCCACACTGAGTCGGCCCTGACTCCAGCATCGGCAGTTCTAGCTGTCTCCGAATGACTCAAAATTGTGGGCTGTTGGCCCAGAGCCAAAGACAAGGCCTCCCTGGGCAGAGCTGGCCCTCAGCTGTCATGGGATCCTCCAGGAGCTCTACCCGGTCAGACACTTAAGTTATACTGAATCCTTCAAGGGGCAGCATTTTGCCAATTTGCAAACACACTCTCTCAATGTTGGAGAAGCATTTCCACGCCAATGCGAAATTTTGCGTTGCCGTGGAGGCAGGGCACAGCACACTTCCCAAGCTCCCAGGTGGTTCACAGAAGGTACAGGGCTTGAACACATTTATTCCTTCCACAACTGCATCTCACACGAACCTAGCTTCTGGCCAAGTGCCATTGAGCCACCCTACAAGCTCGGCTGATTCACTTAAATTGGTTGTTACTGCAACGATTGGCTGAATTCTTACATAAGGATGGAAACGGGCAGTGCCTGGATATCACCGTGTTCTGAAGCGGAGGGGGCTGGGAGGACAAGGAAGGGAAACAGAGGGATCTGTACTCACAGGAAGTGTGACTCAGAGACTGCACATGGGCAGCCGAGAAACCACCCAGTTATGGTGCCCCATACATCACAATGATATCACTTCCCGCCCACCCAGATCTGCAAAATCTCCAAACAGGAGGCAAGAAGAGATTTTAAACAACCCAGAATTCACTGGGCCATTCCTTCCCGACTGCCTTAGTGACTGAAACAAAGTCGAGACGATGACTCAGGCTCTGGTTAACGTTATACAGTGTTTTGCCCTTGTACAAGGAAAGCCTCCATCCTCAGCAAGAGAGGGGTTCACCTCTCACTTAGAGGAATCCAGTGAATTGGAGTTCAGTACAAAGGTGAAGGGCTGATCCAGAGGTTCACAATTCTCAGGGAAAAGAACCAGCTCCTGTTACCTAAACCTCATGTCCATGTCCTCCGGTCCGCTGAGTCGATAGAGCTGGTGTATGCAAAGGCAACGTCGTCCCTTCCCCATCTTACAAAACCTCACCAACTGTGTCTGCGGTTGTTTAGAATAAGGCAGTGTCTTTGTGGCCTTCCCAGTGCTTTTCCACGTGAGCTGTCCGCACTGGAGACAGCAGTTTAATGGAGGCCGAACGAAGAACTTGTGCGAGGCCAACACGGCAGTGACAGTTCACGGGGAACGTGGCCGGGTGCTTCAGTTTTTGGCTTCTCGGATTGACCAGGAGCCAACAGAAGTGCCGACCTTGGTCTCTCGCTCCAGCTAACTTTGCCGAGTGGATGTGCATTTTAACATTTCACCGTCCCACGTACAACCCCTGGCAGGTCTCGTGGGGAGGTATCGCTCACCAATCACATCAAGATCTGCCCGTAACCGACGACGACCAACCCCACACCCCTCCAACTCACCACCGCCATCATCAAGGCCAACACACCCTGAGGCACTTTGTGGATCATTGACCCACCCAGCGCCTTCACCTGAACAAAATACCTCAAATGGTCCTTGCACATGTCCCTACAGGTCATCATTTGATCGCCAAGTGGATCGAAATCGGCTGTGACAAAGTCTCGCGCCCGAATGCACAGTTGGCAATCCTAAAGAAAACATGGTTTTCTGTTGGAACTGTAGAAGCAGCAACGGGCGATAAGCAGAAGGGGAACTCTACTGGTGCACCCAATGCTGGATCACAGAAGGTACAGGGCTTGAACACATTTATTCCTTCCACGACTACATCTCACACAAACCTAGCTTCTGGCCAAGTGTCATTGAGCCACCTTACAAGCTCAGTTGATTCACTTAAATTGGTTGTTAGTGCAATGATTGGCTGAATTCTTACATAAGGATGGAAACGGGCAGTGCCTGGATATCACTGTGTGCTGAAGCGGAGGGAGCTGGGAGGACAGTGGAGACCAGAGACAGGAGCAGGAAATCTCTCAATAAAATCACATGCTCGGCGCAGGGGAAGTCCCTGTGACGTTTTAAAATGCTTCGGCAATCGAAGCACCAATGGGGGCAGTGAGAATCAACGTAAGGTCAGCGCAGGCCATTCAGCCCATTTATCCCGAACCTGTTCCCCCCACTGTTTGGTGACGCTGTGGCTGCTCAGAGATTCACCTCTCTTTATCCAGCTCAGATCCAGAGCATGCGACACTGTTTCCTAACAAAAACAAAAACCCCATCAACCTCAATAGCTTCCAGACGAGCATCCCCCAGCAATCGCAGAGCACATCCTTTTAGGGGAAAGAGAGTTTGAGAGGTGTACTACCCTTCATGTGGGGAAATCTTCCCTGATGTCCCTCCGAAAGAGTCTGCCTGTGTCTTTCACCAGCGAGCCTCAACCTGAGATGAAAGGCTGGCGAATGCAGATGAGCTGGACAGTTAACAAGATCTCATATAGTGCTTCCACTGAGACGCCTTGATCAACAGCACTTATCAAAAGTATTATGGCTTCTCTTGGTGGAGACAAAGTTTCAGTGCAGAATGTTGCAGCTCCAGAGCTGTAGCTGCTAAATATCCCGGGATCACATCCAGAAACCAATCCTCCTGTACAGTTTAAAATAAAAACCCAAGCTCACTAAGAATAGACCACAAAACATTTCAGCCCCTGAAACCACAGTTAGGTGCCACGTGCCTGACCACGAGAGACACCAGCTCCTGTGTGCCCCGCAGTACCCACCTTGCAGGTGGGCTCGACCTTCCTCCTTCAGCTCCGGGAGCAGGATGCTCCATCTCCCTCCGGAAACCGTCCGGCCGCCTTCTCGAGTCGACGGGAACGTCCTGCAGCGTGGTTACAACAGGAAAGTTTCTGTTCACAAACCTATCATTTGGCATCTGGAAGCTGTATTTCATTGCAACGCGAAGCAGCTCATTCTGAAACCAAGCCCTAGTCAAAGTGTCAGGATCTGAGCCATTGAGCTGGTGTTTGGATTGGCGATCGGGGAGGGGTGGGGATAGTGGACAGGAACAGATTGTTAACCGTGCAGCCTCAGTTTCCTGTATCATTCACAAGGCTCCCCTGATCTGTGCTGCTTTACCCTGTATTTATCCCATTTTAATCCACTTTAGCTTGCCTGCACTCAGGAATGCGTCCCAACCAGATAATTGTAGGGTTTGGGAGGCTCAAGCCTCTCACATCAACGTGCCTGCAGCCCTCAGCAGAGAGGAGCTAGGCCTGGAATATGCTGCTAGGTTTACTGCAGTGTTGAAATTGGTCTTTGAAAACACAGCAAAGCACGCTGACAGCTCAATATGGTGCCACACCCAATTCCCTCAGCCATTGGCTTTGTTTTAAGCTCCCATCCCCAGACTGGTTTCCTCGGTGTAATTTTTTTGGGGGGGGTGGTGGAAGTGGCTGCATAGGAAAAGGGGGCAAGCCAATCAGCTCTTCGGGAGGTTGATCTGGGTCCCACTTCTCCAAGCATTTTGAGAGTGAAAATTAACAACTGGTAACAATTACTTGCTGGAGAAGCGAGTTTCCAAGCTTCTCACCAGCTCCAGTGACAAAACTGTCTCCTCATCTCCCTCATGTAATGTCTCGTTCTGTATTTCTTTTTCCAGATGATGTCCCAGGTCTCAGACTCAACCAGCCGATTTAATCCCTCAGTAACTGCCCTAGATTACTGGCTGATAGCTTTGATTGAGTCATGGTGGCATGGTAGTTCGGTGGTTAGCACTGCCGCCTCACAGCGCCAGGGACCTGGGTTCAATTCCAGCCTCAGGCAACTGTGTGGAGTTTTCACATTCTCCCCGGGTCTGCATGGATTTGCTCCGGTTTCCTCTGCACAGATATGCAGGTTAGGTTGGATTGGCTATGCTACATTTCCCCATAGAGTCCAGGGATATGCAGGCCAGGTGGATTAGCCATGGGAAATGTGGGGATAGGGTAGGGTCGGGGTGGGAAGTTCTTTGGAGGGTTGGCGCAGACGTGTTGGGCCGAATGGCCTCTTCCTTGCACTATAGGGATTCTATGAGGTCACCCCCTCATCATTCCACCCGCATCGACCAAAAAATTAAAAAACTGGAATGGTTGCTTCCAGTGAGGCAGCTGGAGGTGAGTGACCCTGCCTGTCCTGAACCTCATGGCTGTGCCCATAGTTAGAGGTATTGCTGAAAGCCAAAGTTTGGTGGTATAGTGAACAGTGAAGAAGGTTATCTAAGATTACAAAGACATCTTGACCAATTGGGTCAATGGGCTGAGGAGTGGCAGATGCAGTTTAATTTGGATAATTATTGCAATTTGGTCAAACAAAGATAGGACTTATACAACTAAAAGTAGGGCCTCGGGCTAGTATTGTAGAACAGAGGAACCTAGGGGTTCAGGTGCATAATTCTTTGAAGTTTGTATCACAGGTAGCCAGGGTGATTAAGAAGACGTTTAGCACGCTTCCCTTCATGACTCGGATCTTTGAGTATAGGAGTTGGGATGTCATGTTGAGGCTGTACAGGATGTTGGTGAGGCCTCTTCTGGACTACTGTGTATAGTTCTGGTCACCCTGCTATAGGAAGGATATTACTAAAGTGGAGAGGGTTCAGAAGAGATTTACCAGGATGTTGTGGGAATGGAGGGTTTGAGTTATGAGGAGAGGCTGTTTAGGCTGGGACCTTTTTTCACTGGAGTGTAGGAGGCCGAGGGGTGACCCTATAGAGGTTTATAAAATCATAAAGGTCACAGATAAGGTGAATGGCAAGTGTCTTTTCCCTAGGGTGGGGAATTTGGAGACTAGGGGGGATATTTTTAAGATGAGCAGAGAAAGATTTAACAAAAGGCATGAGGGTCAACTACTTTTTTTTAAACAGAGAGTGGTCCATGTGCGAGGAAGTGTTGGATGCAGATAAAGTTACAACATTTAAAAGACATTTGGATAAGTACATGAATAAGAAATGTTTGGAGGGATATGGGCCAAGTGGAGGCAGGTGGGACTAGTTTAGTTTGGGATTATGGTCAGCATGGACTGGTTGGACCAAAGGGTCTGTTTCTCTGCTGTATAACTCTATTACTGTCAAATAGCCCATACACTCTCCTGTACACTAATGGGAAATGTAGGATAATTGGGTAGACAATGGGAGCTTTGAACAGTGAATCCTCACCATGGTGCGAGTCAACTTATTTTCATCAAAATCAGTGACTAATTCCAGAGATGAGCAATGAAATAGGAAATGTGTAACATCTACCTCATCAGCTGGGTGCAGGGGGAGGGGCAGAGGTCCTGAGGCAAACAGTGAATATTTCTCCCCCCTTCTCTCTCTCACACACCTGGGGACACATTGTCTTATTCTATTATGAGTCTAGTAACCAAACTAGAGATAATGTTTTCAAGGACCACCTTAGCAGTTTGAGAAATGGAATTCAGGCTTAAAAATAATGGTGTGGGGTGGTGGGGGGAGACAGAGATTGGTAAAGAGTATGAAGCTGTAAAAGTGCTGTAAAAACACACTGGCTCACTGATTCTCTTCAGGGAAGGTGTCCTGCTGCCTGTACCCAGCCAGGCCCAGCAGATCATTCCAGAACCACATGAAAGTTGTTGTCTCTTAGTAATACCCCGCCCCCTGTCTCTGGCTGCAGCAGACAGCTCCACAAACATCTCAGGAGCAGTCAACATGCTACCCAGGGTCAAAACTCCAAAAGCAGCAGTTGGGAAGCGGCAGGTTAGCACACTCTGGTTTGGTTGGGAAACACCCAGTGTCTGACGAAGGTAGGGCATTCGCTGTGACAAAGGCTCGATTGTACAACACTGCTTCAGGTACTTGCGTAAGCGCACAGTCATTCCAAAAGAAACCTCAAGGTGTGTAAACATAAGCCATCTAATAAAGTTCCTTATCTGTGTTCCTTCCTCTGTAAACTTTCACTTGGAGCTAAAGGATCAAGGACAAGAACTAGAACTGCTTTTTATAACATGTGGACAGCATTACACAGCAATAAGAGGGAGTCCCACTCAATCCGAATTAAATTAGAATACAGCTGATCAGTATTTTAACCCACCACAATTCCAGGTTCTTTAAAAGCCTCTCGGAGCAAAAGCAGCTCAGGCTCAGTTTTGAAATTTCTATTGATTCCCTCCCTCCGTCCCTTTCTTGGGACAGGATTACCAGATTACCCATGCCCTTTGTGTGAAGGAATCATTTCAGACATTGCTCCAGGCATTAAATTTAAAGATTATACCTCCTCGACGTGCACACCCACCTCTCCCTCATCTACAGAGGACTCAGCCTCTCTCCATCCACCTCATCAACTCCTTTAAATCATCATAAATACTTCCATTAGATCACCCTTTAACCTTTTCCCTATATCAACAGAACACAAAGCCAATCTATCCAACTTGTTCTCACAGCTTTAACTCTTCAAGTCCCAGTATTATTCAGCAAATCCTACAAGGGCAAAGATGATGATAAATGGTCCTCACTGTCCAAGTGTCTGATAAGTTACAGGTTTCCAGTGAATCCATCACCTTAGTGAAAAAATACACAACAAATTCCAGGGAGAATCTTGAAGCTTAGATTGGGAAGTAAAAACCGCAATGAGGCTCACATCATAGAAACACCTGACTGACGGTAAAGGAAACAAATTTCGGGTAGCTTCCAGAAGGACATGTGACCTTGACACGAGGGATATGAAAACATAATAGGTGCAGTTGACCAAATTGCCTCAATCTGCCATCGAGAAGATCAAGGTTGAGCTATCTCAACTCCACCTCTGTGCATGATCCCCATTTCCCTCAGAGCCCAAAAAAATATTGACTGTAGCCTGGAGTATACCCACTGAGCTTCCATAGCTCTCTGGGCTCAGAGATTCTGAAGATTCACCACTTCTGTGTGAAGACACTTCTCCTCACCTCATTCCTAAATGGGCAACCCTATTAACCTGAAGTGGTGTCCCTTAGTCCTAGTCTCTCCAGTATGGGAAACATTCCCTCAGCATCTTACCCTGCCAGAACCCTTCACAGCCTAGTTTCAACAAGACCATCTCCTGCTGCTGTAAACTCCAGAGAAGCACTGGCCTTGTCTACTAAATCTCTCCACATAGGATAACCCTCTCATCCCAGGATTCAATCTGGTGAACTGTTGTTGCTCCCCTTTTCGGGCAGGTTTGTTCATCTTCTCGACACAAAACGGTACACATTACTCTAGGTGTGACCGATGATGCTGGTATGATGCACAAGACGACGAATCTCACGCATTCCTGATTACCTTGACAATGAATGGCCATCTCCGAGGGCACTAACATACAACTGCATTTTGGGAGTGTAACCTCTCACGGGGATGCGGTGGGGCGCTTTGGTGAACCAGTCCCATGCTTTTTAAACATCAATCTGTTTGGTTTTGACAGGTCAAATTTTGTTGGTGCCAGATCACAACTTACAAGCTCAAAATCTGGTTTGTGCCACTGACATTTACAAAGTGGTTTGACAGGGTAAGGGAACACCTGCCCTTTGGTGGGGGGTGGGGGGGGGGATTGATTGTAAAATAGCAACAAAAGAAATCTAGTTAGGAGTTCAGGAGAAATGGGCTTTACCAAGAAGTAGAGAGCATTTGAGGTGATTGAGGTGGCTCAGTGGTTAGTTCTGCCTGTGTGGGGTTCCTCCAGATGGTCCATGTTTCCTCCCACAGTCGAAAGATGTGCCGGCTATGTGGACTGGCCATGCTAAATTGCCTGTAGCGTTCAGGGATGTGCAGGTTAGGTGGGTTAGTCATGGGAAATGCAGGGTTATAGACATAAGGTAAGAGGGTGGGTCTGGTTGGGATGCTCTTCACAGGGCCAGTGTGGACTCGATGGGCCAAATGGCCTGCTTCCACACTGTAGGGATTCTGTGATACATTTCAGGAGATCTACATGGTGTGGCAGGATGTGGTGATGGTAGTCCTGTTGGAATGAAATGAAGAAGTGTGGGAAGGTATTATGGACTGGTTGGGCCGAATGGCCCGTTTCTATGCCATTCGTTGTGAACAGGGGACTGTGCAGCTGTCGCAACATGAGCTGTTCATCCCCCCACCCAGCCCCAAATAGATGGGGGCACATTTCTTGCAAACACCTCCCCCACCCCAGCTGCTGAGGAGCTGTTGGGCTGGGGTCACGGGGTCGCACAGAGAACAGCCATGTCTTTGTGAAAATTGAGTACCCTTCCCACCTGCATAAACATATCCGCTGTCCCGTGAGCCCCCACCCCCCCAAGGTGGGCCCAAGCGGACTGCGTCGTGGGGAGGAGGAAGTGGCAGAGTGGTCTCCAGAGGCTCACGTTCAAGTTCTGGGAACACGAGTTCAAATCCCAGAGGGACTGGAGAATTCGGAACTCAATCAGGAAACGCCTGGAGTAAGAGGAAAGTCGATTGTTGTAGAAACCCATCGAAAAGCTCGGAGGTGGAACAGCTGCCACCTTTATCTGGTCCGGCCTACGTGAGGCTCCAGGCCCACAGCATCTTAACTACGTTCGCAGTAATCAGGGAACGGGCTTTAAATATCAGCCTAGTCCCATGAACGAACAAAATAAACACTCTGCGGCTGTGGGTTTGTGGCGTGCCGCTCGCTTGGGAGTTCAAAGTTTGACGCTGCGCAAACAAACCGGGTGCAGTTGAGAGTAAAAGCCAGCGCAGCGACAATCAGCAGTGTATGGGAGGGTAGCACTGATTACCTGGACGTAGAAATCGGTGGAAGGTGACGATCTGGATCGTTCATGCACGTACTGCGGGCTTGCAGGCTCCTGCAAGCTCTGCTCAAGGATGTCATCCGCAGAATGGAACCTTCCGGAACTCCGGGCCTCCGACACCTTCCTCTGCTCCCTCCACGTCGCCTGGTACTCTGCGAAGGTGCCAAGGCGCTGTGGCCCAGCCTTGTGCCCGCTGGGGTCCAGGTTACGGGGATGCCCAGCGGGGGTGGGCCTCTCAGGGAGGCCGCCGCTGGTTTGGGGGCCCAGGTATCGCAGCGGCCAGCTCCCTCCGGGATCGGGGGCCCTCCGGGGGCTCTCGCGGCCCCCTCCCAGTGAGCTGGCCCGGACACAGGCCCAGTCCTGGTCCGCAGCCTCCAGATGCCCGTACTCGGCCTTGCTGCCGCTGCCTTTCCCGTGCAGCGCGAGCTGGGCCTCAGCGCCGCTGGGGCGGACACTCTGACTGGGTGGAGGTGGGGGCCTCCCACCCGCCTCAAAGAAATGCCGCCTGTCGGCGAAGGAGGTAGGGGGGTCCGTGCCCGGGGGAGGGGGAGGGGGAGGGGGAGGAAGGGATGTCCCAGCCTCGTCAGGGGCGCCCACCTCGTTCATCTTCTCTGGTTCGGAATAAGAGCGCAGCTTCTGCTCCAAAGTCAGCCGCTTCCTGCCACCCAGACGGGTCAGGGCTGGCACCCGTGGGTGGATGGCCGAGGGAGGCAAGGGCCCCTCTTCCTTGGCAGCAGGGGTGACAGGCTGGCGGGGGGGTGCCAGGGGCCCCAAGTCCCTCCGCTGGAAGGAGGTGGCCCTCAGGACGCGGGCCTGGGCCTCCTTCAGGTCGTCCTTGTAGGAGGAGCCGTCAGGGAAGGGAGGGCACTCGGCCGCCCACTCCTCCCGGGAGCCCCCGGCTTTGCCCGCCGTCTCCGGGGAAACGGGTGTCAAAACCGCGGCGCTCTTGCTCTTCTGCAGCTGCGCCCGCTTGGTCTGGATCTCATTGCGCAGGGCGGTGGCAAAGCGATCACTCCTCCGCTGTTGCTGCTGCTTGACCTGTGGATAGACCGAGGCCTCAGCCGGCAGCTTCCTGCTCTCCTGCGCCAGGGAGTGAAGCAGGGGCGTCCTGTCAGGGCACACAGCCGTGCCCTCTGCCCGCGGCCAGCTTCGATCGCTCAGTGCTCGGCATCGGCTGCCCTCCAGGTGGCCATAAGGCGGACGCGACGCCCCTGCTTCGGGCCTGCAGGGGAGGCGGCCATCGGAGGGCGAGGCCTGGTCCCCGGGAGGCCTGGGGCCTGTGTCGCTGCTGCTGTGATCGGGGCTGAGGGGGTAGGCCGCTCCCTTCTGGCTATCCCAGCATTCTGACTGGGCCCGCGCAGGGTGAGCTCCGGCTAGGTCAGGCTGCCGGGAGCAGGCGGGAGCGGGAAGGGCCGTTTTTGTTGGCCCTCTTTGGCTCCAGTCAGAACGGGGAGCGCTCTCAGCCGCAGTTGGGTGTGGGCCATGATAAAGGCTGGTGCCCCATGGGGCCATCCTGGTTCCACCGTTATGGTGAAAGGTGCTTTCGTCACTGTGCTGCCTTTGGTGAGAGGTGGGCGAGGTGGGCTGGGAGTAACGGACGTCCATGCTGGACAGGCTCAGCTTGCCAGCACTGGGCTGCTTATTGTTGTCCCATAGGGCCGAGGGAGCCATCTCGGCCCCGTACAGAGGGCTGGCCTGCTTCGCCCTCTTGCCCTCGCGCTCAGGGTCCTCCCCGGCCCAGTCACCTCGCAGCTGAGGCTTGGCCGAGGTCTGTTGCCGGGAGGGCCCATTCCCGTCAGGGGGCCCCCCGGCATGTGCCTTCTCGTGCACCTTGGTGGCGGCGAAGCTGTCGCTGCGGACGGGAGGGGGCGGCGGTGGGGATACCCTACGGGGCACCCGGCTCTCGCCCTGACCCTTCCTCTCCGGCACGTGCCACACAGGCCCGAAGCTGGCCCTGCCCGATGCATGGGGCCTGCAGCCGAGGTATTCGTCTGGGCGTGTTGAGTCATCGGGCCTGTCCTCTAGGCTGGATCGCTCAGCTGCATTCTGACCTTGGCGCCCGTTACCATTGCTGGGCTTTGGGGCATCCCAGGGGGGTCCCCTACTCAGCATGTTCTCCGTGGAGGACGACATGTCACTCTTGGAAGACGAGAGGGTGTAGTCCGGGGTGCTGGAACTGGTGGAGAAGGAGCTGTAGGCCGAATCCCGTTTGCTGTGCCCCGAGATCTGGTCCATGCTGTTGCTGGAGTGAGCAGGGGACAGGCTGACCCCCTGGTAGATGGCAGGGGGCTGGTCCAGGCTCTCCATGCTGCCGAGGGAGCTGAACTGGTCAGAAGCGCGGTGCAGGGTGGTCTCGTCCCACTTGTCCGAGAGGTCATTCGACGAGGAGCTGGTGAGAAAGCAGAATGGAAGATGGGGGTTGGGGGGTGTCAAGGCATAGTTTTAGTCAGAACGGACATACACGTGTACAGTACAGGAGGCCATTCAGCACGCGAGGCCTATGCTCACACTTTGCAAAAGCAATCATAGAATGTCTTAAGTTTGGAAGCAAGCCATTCAGCCCATCAAGTCCACACCGATCCTCCGAAGAGCATCGCACCCTGACCCACCCTGCCATCCTATCCCTGTAACCCTGCATTTCCCATGGCTAACCCACCTAACCTGTACACCCGTTGACACTAAGGGCAATATAGCATGGCCAATCCACCCTAACCCAACTAAACTCACTCCCTTTCACATTTCAGGTCACTCCTCTTTAAGCATATGTGAGCTTTGTTTCAGGAAGTTCATTAAACCTGCCTGAATCAGTCTTTATCCACTCACAATGGTCCAATTATGAGGTTTATAACATTATTAGATATTGGGGCAGTAATCTGAAATCCTGATAAAACGAAGGAGGTCTTGTGAAGGTATGAACTATAAATATTAAGCCACTCGGCCCCTCAACCCTGCTCCACCATTTAATAAGATCATGGTCAATTTGATTGTGAACTCTATTCTATATTCCCACCTCCTACTAACCCCTAATACCCTTTCACGCCCTTGTTAGTTGTAAATCTATCTACCTCTGCCTTAAGATTGATCAATAATCCATCACTGCCCCTTCTCTGGGAAGACAGCTTCAAACACTCTCAGCCACCAAGAAAACTCCCTCTTGCTTTTGAATGGACAGTCCCTTATTTTTAAACTGTGTCCCCCAGTTCTAGTCTCCTCCCACAAGAAAAAGCATCCTCTCAGCGTCCAATCCATCAGGTCCCCCCAGAATTTTATTTGGCTCAATTAAATAGATTCATTCTTCTAAACTCCCATGACCATAAGATGTTGGAACAGAATTAGGCCATTCAGCTCATCAAGTCATTCAGTGTTATCATAGCAGATCTGATAATCCTTCACTTTCCTGCCTTTTGCCCCATAACGCCCGATTCCCTTACTGATTAAAAATCTGCTTATCTCAGCCGTAAATGTACTCAATGACCCAACCTCGATAGCCCACTGTGGTAAAGAATTCCACAGATTCACTCCCCTCAAAGAGAAGAAATTCCTTTTCATCTATCCCCTTAATCTGAGATTATGTCCTCTTGTTGTAGACTCTTCCACAAGGGGAAACAACATTTCCACATCTACCCTGTTAAGCCCCTCGAAGAATCTTATATGTTTCAATAAAGTCGCCTCTCATTCTTCTAAATTCCAATGAGTACAAGCCCAAACCTCTCCATACCTGGTATCAGCTAGTGAACCTTCTCTGGGCTGCCTCCAATGCCAGTATATCTTTCCTTAGATAAGGGGACCAAAACTGTTTGCAATATTCTAGCTGTGATCCGACTAGCGCCTATCACTTTAGCAAGTTCTCCCTTTCTTCATACTTCATTCCCTTTGAAATAAAGACCAACTTTCCGATTGTCTTCCATTTACCCAACAAACGTACAAGCTAGTTATTTGTGATTTGTGCACTATTCTCTCAGTCCGTAACTTTCTGCAGTCTTTCTCCATTTAAATAATATTCAGCTCCTCCATTCTTCCTGCCAAAGTGCTTAACCTCACCTTTTCCCACATCATAGTCCATCTGTCAAGTCCTTGCCCACTTGCTTTTCCTGTCTATATCTGTCTGAGATTCTTTGAGTCATCCTCTCCATTTGCCTTCCCACCTGCTTTTGTGCCATCCACCACACATTGACCCTCTTTATCCAAATCATTAATACATGGACATGGACCCAGTCTGTCCAACCTTCCTTGCAAGATAAACTCCCATCCCAGGGATCAGTCAAATGAACCTTCTCTGAACTGTTTCCAATGCATTTACATCCTTCCATAAATAAGGAGACAAAAACTGTACACATTACTCGAGATGTGGACTCATTGAACTCTACACAGCGCAAGCAAAACATTGTTACTTTTACATTCCATTCCCCTTGCAACTAATAGCAACAACCAATGTGCCTCCACAATCACTTGCGGTACCTGCATACTAACATTTTGTGATTTATTAAACAGCACACCCAGATCCCTCTGTACTGCAGAGTTGTGTAATTCCTTTTCATTTCAATAACATACGGCTTTCCTATTCTTCCTGCTAAAGTGGATAGATTCACATTTTCCAACATTATACTCCATTTGCAAGAGTGAGCACTTACTCACTTAACCTCTCCACATCCGTTTGTAAAAATCAAGGTTCTCAAAACATTAGCTCTGTTTTTGTATCTACAGAAGGTGGCTCAGTGGTTAGCACTGCTGCCTCACAGCGACAGGGACCCGGGTTCGATTCCACCCTTGGATGACTATCTGTGTGGAGTTTGCACATTGTCCCCGTGTCTGCGTGGGTTTCCTCCAGGTGCTCAGGTTTCCTCCCACAGTCCAAAGATGAGCAGGTTAGGTGGATTGGCCATGCTAAATTGCCCACAGTGTTCAGTGATGTGTAGATTAGGTGGGTTATAGGGGGACAGGTTTGGGTGGGATGCTCTGAGGGTCAGCGTGGACTTGTTGGGTTGAAGGGCCTGTTTCCACACTGTAGAGGTTCTATGATTCTATGAAGACCCGCTTTCTGTTTTAGTTAAAGTGAACATCAAGATTTCTTCACTTTCTGTAAATTGCTCCTTCCAGAAAATGGGAAGCTAACAGATTGTCGCAAGGAACACAATAACAGGAGTAAGTCATTTAGCCTGACAAGACCGTTTGGCCACCATTCAAGGAAGCTCTCAGCTGTACTTCAATTCTGTTTGCTCAAACCGCCCCATAGTGATCTGCACAACTTTGATGAACCTTACCTCTTGTGTCAGCCCGTCCCCACACTGGGAACTAAAGACCAAACGCTCTCAGCTATTCCCAACACTCGCAGCCGCCACCACCACCACCCCACCCCCACCACCACCGCCAGTGAAGCTGTAGGACAGTTGGTTGGCTACATTCTGCCAAGTGGGAGTGCACGCTGGCTGTGCCTGGTACAAACCCGTGGCATCACAGGGAAGCAGATGGTCGAGAGATGTCCACTACTCGTCGGTTTTACCTCAATCTGCTTCTGAGCTTAGAGGGGGGCCTCCAGTAGCTGGCGGCTGCGCCAACGGAAGGTCGAGTGAAGGAGAGCGGGGCAGGTTCGGGCAGAACATTGGCGATGCACAGAAAGGTGGCAGCAGAAAGTTTGCGGACGAGGTGAGAGTGAGGCACTTACGTGGCGTGATAGCGCGAGTGCCACGACGGACATAGTCCACTGGACGATAGCTGCATCCTTGCAGATTCCGGCTGGCTATCTGTGAACTTTGTCGAATGCCACGAGTGAGGCCTACTCGCAGGCTCATTACTCCTGAAAGAGAGGGAGGGATGGCAGGCGATATTAACAAGGGAACCCGATAGTGAGTTAAATGGAGGTCTTTTCAAGTCCCTCAAGGTTTCAATGTGTTCAACACAAAAGTTTTCTGAAGCAGGCGACAACCCACAGTTCAAAGAAATAGTACAGCAATGAGCCGATTAGCTGGCCTCTCCTAATCCAAAGCCCAAAGGGAGGACACCGACACAGCCCCCTCGTCAGGGCCCTGACAATCATTTTCGTTCCCCCTTTACCTTCTAGGTAGGCTATTTCCAAACTTTCCTCCCCTTAATTCCAGTAACTCCATCACAAACTCTTGAGGATGTTCAACTGCAGATCAGAACTAAAACTCAAGCTGTCCTCCGTAAAATATAAGTGAAGCCTACCTCACATTAGATGGCTAGCTCCTACAACAAAAAAAAACACTTGGTGCCTTTCATTTGAAAAGACGCAGTGAAAGCAACTGCAAATCACTGGCTGCAGTGTCAATTTTCACCTGACATTTTTAAATGCAGTAAGAGTGAGCTACTGAGAAAGGGGAAGAGGATTGGACACCTTGGGAGGCCTGAACACACTGGGTGGGTCGCTTCTGATCTGAACGAGTAATGTGCAATTGGTGCACTTGACCTCTAATGATGGGTCATTAACAGCAAACTGGGAAAGGGACAAAGTGCTTTTGACTATGTAGGAACATCGCAAGGACATTTTCTCTCAGATTTGCCCTTTCGATTGGCTACTGGCTGTCAGACAGTTCTGAGGAAGGGTCACCAGACCCAAAACGTTAACTTTGTTTTTTCCTTCACAGATGCTGCCAGACCTGCTGAGCTTTTCCAGCCACTTTGTTTTTGTGGCTGTCAGACAGTCTCAGTTTAATAGTCCGATTACTGACTCCACTTCTCCAATCAGTAAGGTGATGGATTTGCTCTTAAAAGCTCACATATTGTGGCCAGAATTATTGTTTATTTTTAGAAAACACCAACAGTCCTGCTCAACGAGCACTTGCCCATTCAAGCAAAGGGGACTTTCACATCCATTAGTGAAGACACTGAGGGAGGAGCCAGCTCCAGCCTCTTCAATTGGGGCTATCAAACAAATCCGGGCGAACGCGAGGAATATAAAGCTCTTTGTTGTAGTGTGATAATATTTCTGACGATCATAAAGCTCCATTCACCGACTGTGCCTGTTTGACCAGGGCTAGAACCTTCACTGGAGTTGCCTGTATCCGAGCCTCGCTCCTCAGTTAGACCTTGCAGTTCCTTTGTGGAAAATTCCTGTGCCTCACACCAACACACAGTGTACCTTACAAGTTACCTTTTTGATGGCTCAACCTGTTCTATAAAGGAGGCCATTCATCCCCTTGAACCAGTACAGGAACATAGGAGCTGCAGCAGACTATTCTGCCCCTCGATTGAGCTCCACTTAGGAAGGGAACTGCAGATGTCATGGCAGGTGGTAGCTGTGCTGAGGGAAGACCCAGGAGATGGAGGGGTGAGCAGACAGGGTTTGGAAGCAGTAAATCATACCTGATCGGTATCAACTCCACTTACAAGCTTTGTCTAACCAAAACCCATCAATCTCAATTTTCCACACTGTAGGGATTCTATGATCTATGATTTATGATTTATGATCAGGTTTGGAATTGTCAACTGACCCCAATCCAACCAGCTTTTTCCTTGACGGGTGGAGGCGCGAGTGAGGGAAGAGTTTCAGAATTGCTTCTTGATATCGCTCCTGAATGGCCTCACCCTAAATTTCAAGCATACATGTCTTCGTGGTTGACTACCACAGCTGATAATATACACATGGATCTCCACCACTAGCCTCTGGATAACAGATAAATAATCTACACAAATAAATCTCTCATTTTAGCAGGAGCGTAGTCCATTCTTTCAGCATCTTGCAAAAAGCTCAAGTTACCAACTCCTGTCCCTGTCAGAGGCTGGGGGATCCAGCTGGAGGATGAGGTTGTAAATGGGAATGTTGGACCCCTCCCTGGAATATATTATCACTCACTCTCCTGCAAAACAACATCCAAAACATTTGTAGCAATCCATGGGTAGAACCTCTAAGGTTTGTTCTTGATTCTTACCCTCCTGCGCCCCCCAAAACCCCCACCCCCAAAAACTCTATTCTAGCAACAGAGGGTCATGTACACTTCACACACACAAACATCATAACACTACAAGTTGCCAAATGGGATGTTTCAAACAAAAATCAAGGAGTAATGTTGAAATATTCAAAGTTTGGGGTCTCTATTCTGCCATTGGTCAGTTGGTTTGGGGGTGGGGGACAGGCATGAGGGGATTAAGGGGTAAGGTGTACTGTTACCTCATGGAATTTCTCATGATTTTCATCAGAAAGCTCCTTGCCACTTTAGCCTCAGTCTCAAGAGGAATTTTCTGCGCTACAATAGCCACCATTTTGCCCTTCCTGAGTGAGCCAAAGAAGGAGAGGAAGACATTCCGCAGTCCGAGAGACAGGAGGAGTTGGAAAGCGAATGTGCTCCTTGCCTGAAGGCTTAGCCAAAAAGCTGTTCGGCAGAAGGCAAACCATTCAAAGTGAGCCTGGTCTTGGATACTGTTCTGAAAGGCAACTGCCAAACAAATCTTTCCAAGCAGCACAACCATACAGTCTAGGCACATATGGGTCACTCCTATATTACTGAGCCCATAGCTTATATCTATTCATCGCACTGCTACAGTTGAAATTCCATTTGTACCAGGGACCTGTTGTCCAATATTAGCTTCCTCCCTCTTTGAAAGGCAGAGTTAGCACCCCCATCATGGAGTGGCACCCGTAAATGCCCTAACTTTTCAAACAGCACAGTTCCCTTATTTTAACGTGCCCAGCGCCGTTTAAAGAGAGGCCACCCAAGTGTGTTGCAGGCAAAGGTCCTAATCCCAATCAATGCTGACTCATCAACCCTCAGATGGGCAACAGCGGAGACTCCATTCCCCCAGGGTGCCTCAGGATTGCAATGTGGTATGTTCAAGTCTCATTCCAGCATAAAGTCCAGGCTGACTCTCCCGGTGCATCACAGAGTGAGGTGCTGCACTATCTTAAATGAGACATTAAAGCTAGGCCCTGCCTGTCAAGGAGGTAGATTCCGGACTTGAAAGGGTTGGTTTATGAGAGGAGATCGAGTAGACTGGGACTATATTCATTGGAATTTAGAAGAACGAGGGGTGGATCTTGTAGAAACATACAAGATTACGAAGGGAATAGATAAGATGGAAGCAGGGAAGTTGCTTCCACGGGTGGGTGGAACTAGAACTAGGGGGTATAGCCTCAAAATAAGAGGGAGCAGACTTAGGACTGAGTTGAGGAAGAACTTCTTCACCCAAAGGGTTGTGAATCTGTGGAATTGCCTGCGCAGTGAAGCAGTTATGGCTACATCGTTGAATGTTTTTAAGGCAAAGGCTGATAGGATTTTTGAACTTTAATGGGATTAAGGGTAATGGTGAACTGGTGGGTAAGTGGAACTGAGTCCACGAAGAGATCAGCCATGATCCTATTGCATGGCAGAATGGGCTCAAGGGGCCAGCTGGCTGACTCGTGCTCCTATTTCTTATGTTCTTCTTATGTTTAATTATCATGGAACATTGCTGTGCACAATCCCAGCTGTTGCACTTCTGCCGTTACAACTTCATTAGCTGGAAAGCTTAGTCGGCCATGTTAAGGTTGTCCAAGGTGCTACATAAACGCAAATTCTCCCTTTGTGCCTCTAAGCTGTATGACTGCCTTCGTTCGGCCCAAATGGTAGCCACCTCGTGGCTGAACGGCCTTTGGGAGATTTGCTTTCTGGCTTTTGCTTTGGCTGGGATCAGTGGTACCAGATGAGATCTCAGTGGATTGAAGCACATCAATGACAGTTTGCATTTATGTAGCACTTTCGATGTAGGAAATGTCCCAAGGAGCTTCACAGAGGCACAATCAAACAGTTCAAACGTTCCGACATGCCAGGTCAATGCACGTTGTTGTTGTAAATTCTACTTCTTGCTACTTATATAGTGCAGTGCTGGCCTGTTGTACTCTGCTCTCTCTTTCCTTCCACACCCTTTCCCTTAGAACTGAACAAAAAAAAGTAGAACCTGTTTAAACGATCCCGAAGCTTGCAGCTAGTTTGCACTTAATACCACTGGACAGATTCGATTTGGTTATCAAAATACCCTGAGGGGAAGCCGCACATGGGCTTGGTTTCAAATGAAACAAATCTCTCAGCATCTAGCTTGTCAGGCTCATTCCTGAATCTTGTACAGATGAATCAGATCGTCTCACATTCTTCTAACCTGATCCACTTTGTTCAGCTTTTCATCATGGGGGAACCCTCTCAGTCCAGGAACCAGTCTAAGTGAGCCTTTGCTGCACTAGTCTCCAATGGATGTATTTAAACATGGCGACAAGACTATCTCCAAAACAGGACAGCGTTCCCTCAGGACTGCCCCGAAGTGGACACCCAGCTCATGTGCTCAACTCGCAGAAGCGAGGCTTGAACCCATGACTCTCCGACAGGGAGGTGAGAGAGAGCAACACACTGAGCCACAGCTACTCAGAACAAACTCACGACCAATCGAGCAGGGTCAATTCTGCAGCAGATCAACTGCTTACTTGCTGGGCGTATACAGGGGCTTTTATAAAGCTCCTTTGGTCTCTGGGGTGTTATTTGAAGTGGTGACAGGTTTCCTGTGGTTGGGGAGGGGGGATGATGTCAGACCACATGTCAAACACCAGCTGACCCTACGGCAGCGGTTCTGCAATAAACTGATCAGTGGGACCTTGACGCTTTCTGAGCAGCTGCATTAGTAACACACAGCCCCAGATTCAAAGCTGGCTCGTAAATGGCAGCTCGCTATACTTGCTGATGACAATCTGCCACTCAAGTTGTCTACACTGCACTCGACATCGTATCAATGAGAATAATCAATCGCGCATCAGGGACGGAGGGTCTGATTACAGCAAAACACGTTACAATTTTTTGTAGCAGACACTGCAGCAAC